TAAAATCCAGGCTTTCCTAGCTAACCATTCAAATGAACTCTAGCCCATGCTTACCACCTTGTGCTTTGGTTATGGTAATATTTTCTCTGACCATAGGATCATAGGAAAGTAGGGCTGGAAGGGATCCCATGATCTAGTCCAGCCCCTACGAAAACATCCTCGGCAAGTGCTCGATTAACCTACTGTTCAAAATGTCCAGGGATAGAGATTCTACAACCTCTCTACGTATTCTGCTTAAGCATCCTCGTAGTCAAAAATACTTCCTAATCTCCAACCTCCGCTGTAGCTTGAGGTTATTGCTTCTAGTCCGCCCTACAGCCACAGAGAAAACCCAATCTCAAAACACTGCAATGGGACAGGTAAGGTTGAATGGACACACCGTTTGCACAACCCTCTGAAGTCAGTGGCAACTTCCATTGACTTCAGTAGAACCAAATTACATTCAAAGTTTGCTTTATGGAAAAGATCAAAGCTGGTAACATATTTTAATAACCTCTGAGAAGCTTGCCAACACTATAGCAAAAGACAACAAAGGTCAGAAATTTTACAGAAGTTATATTGGTAAACGATGAATGTAACTAAGTCACTGCTTGCTGGTCTTGCAATAGATGAAGCGTTGTGATTAAGAGAGGCCTGAGAAAGAAACAGCACAAAAATGGGGAGGAAAGAAAGACCTGAAGCAGAAAAGTGAATTACCAAGTAAGGATATGCCAACAGAAACAAGTCAAGAAAACCTTTCATTGACACAGAAAGATAAACCACAACACTAGGGGCAGAGGGAAGGGGAAACAGACTTAGGTTTAATAACAAACACTAGGAAGCGACTACATTAAAATAATCAGTATGCCTTCACAGTACTGTAATAGCATTTATGTTAACCATCTCGTGACATAAGAACATGCCCAAAATGGTCTTAAATCTAGTATGGCCACACTGCACTAGTCTCTTAAAATAAAACTTGCCTATCTAGATGGTTTTTGAAACTTCACAGGAAAAAAAATGGCATATGTCAAAATGATAGACTTGGATATTAAATTTCACTGAAGTGAGAAGTACTGTTTGTTAGCGTTACATTGAAGTCAGAACAAATAATAATTCAGTGACTTTGCACTAAATTTCATGATTATTTTACCAACCCCAAGAAGCCTGATGAAACTTCCCAATACAAAGAGAAAGCAAGTTCTTTACTCCAAGAAAATTAAACACTAATTTCAGACAAGCTACAAGGGGGCATAAGGTCAGAAGTAAAAGGGAAAGAAGAAAACAGTGATTTTAGTTACTAAACTAACCTTAGATTACAGGCCAACATAAGATGTTTTTAAAGCAATGTCAGAAACATGAATAAACAGGAGCCCACTTAAAAACCTTGGAAAAGTAGGTAACAATCTCCCCTTTCCTGCTAGGCCCTTAGAGTAGGCCCCTGCTTTCTAGCTGCCTTAGTAGCCACATCATCTCTCTTCAATTAAGGGAAACTGCCCTGCTTCGACCCCTTTCATTGCAGCATCAGTCTCAGACACTCCACTTGAATCATTTTCTTGGCTCCTTCTTTCATCACATGAAATTTAAACGTTGTGTCATCGCACCACCCTGTACGATTATGCAGCACACTCCTTGTTTATTTGCCTCATGTTGGGTCACACACAGACATCTTCACCAACTATTTATTCTAATAGTATTTACTAACTTGATTATATGCTGCCCTTCCCAAAGTCTCAGGCTGGCTTACAGCAAGACAGAACACCACATAAGAGCAAACTGAGTATCAAAATAGGACAGGACATAAAAACTCCCTAAACACCCCAGCTTAGTCATGCTTGCTAAACAGCTGCCCAGATAGGAAGGTCTTGCAGCATTTCTAGAAGATGCCCAGGCTCAGACTCTGGTAGGCCTGGGACAGGGGCATTTCCAGAGCCGAGGAGTGAGTAGGGAGGGCAACCTCCCACCTGTTTTTGCCAAGGGAACTTGGTGAACTGATGGAACTAGGAGGCTGCTATTGGCTAACCTTGGGGACTGCGATGGGGTGTAAGGGGAAGAAGGTTTATTAGCTATAAAGGGGCCAGAAAGGGGCTAAGCTGGCAACTGTTCCTTTTTTCACACTACTCTTTTCACATGAACTATTCTCTGAACTGATTCATAAAGAAAACGTGCAGTTTGCCTTCTAAATCCCGATTAAACAAATGACTATTGTGTTACCTGTAAGAAATCTGCCAGGTAACTGTCATCATTCAGGTTGAGTAGCAACTGAGAACAATTGTCATCATTCACAATTCAAATATTTGAAGTGTACAAATCTGCACATGGGAAGTTTCCCTCTTCTTCACCCATTGTAGGCAGCTTGTCTTCCCAGACAGCAACCCCCACCCTTCTCCTGAGGCACGTCACTCACTACAAATGTTACAGCCCGCAGCAGCACTGTGCTCCAGTCCAGACTGGGGCCTCCAGAACTAGTGCTGTGTAAATTTTATGCAATACCTCCCTAGGCATGGGAGAGAATGGCTCAACATGAAGCGTGTTTGAAAGCATCACCTGATGCTTTATTCCAGTTTCTGAAGCATTGGTTCTGCCTTCAGCAAAAAGCAAAGGTATTTCTGGAATTTATATGGCACGGACGTGATCTTTCCAGAGGCAGGTCCAACCCTGCAAGAGAAACTGCTTCTTCATGGAGCACCATTTAACTCCCTCTTCAACTCCCAACTGCAAGATTAGCACCTGAGGGCTCGTTTATGCAGAAACATGCAGGATAGGTAACATGCATAAACAAAAGCATGTTAGGGTGGTGTGGAGACTCGGTCATGGGGAGTGTGGCCAGAGATCAGTTAGCCTAATCCTCTTCAAATAAGGCCACTTTTCAACTGCAGGTGCTTCCTCAGCCTGACGAAGGGTATTTATACCCAAAAGCTTGCTAAGAAGAATTTGTCCAACTATCTGAGATGGTCTAATAAAAGATATCGGATTTACCCAAAGAACCTTGTTTGCCACAGCAGGGGTTAGCATACTTGTAAGTTTATGTATATTGACCTCACACTTTTAATTGACTGACTCATTCTCAATTTTCCTGACTGCCCCCTTATAAAATAGCTGGGAGGCATAGTTAACCTACATGTGAAACCTTGTGTCTAGTTAAAAAGCACAGCAGGGTGAACCCCTGAAGATATTTACATTTTATGTTAAGATTTGACATACACACAGCTTTTTTTCGGAATATGTCTCATATTAACTGTTTATGTAAATATCTGTTTTTCAAATGACGCCAGCCAGAATGGGAAGTGTTTTACTACAATCGGCCATTGTCAGTAGCTCCCAAATACTCGTGTTTAAATTGTGTAAACGTATCTGAACAAATAAAAGAGCATCCATCTCAGGCTCTGATTTTAAACAGTTTAAAATCCATGCTTAGAAAAAAAAAAAAAAAGATGCCCTAATGGCTAGACACTTCTAATTCTAGCACTACACAAAGTCCACGCCAGTAAACATGTCTGCAGAAATGATTTCCTAAACACACCGGTGGTTGAGCAGTTCTGTTGTGCACTTCCTATCTCAATGCAGAGTTGAGATGGGAGCTGGGAGGCAGTGATTACAGTAGTAGGAAATGGTCTATTTTGAGACCTGTTGCTGACAAAAGATGGCATCTGTTTAATCTTTGTAAAGGATAACTATGAGGGGCAACATACTGACTGTGGATTAACTTCACAACTGAATAAAGTTGTTTAAACAGCATAATCGTAACAAGAAAAACACCGCTATGGATTACAAAACAGACAAACCCACATCAATAGTGAAGGCATGCTGAGGGATGAAGAGGACATTAACATTAGAGATAAGAGTATCATTCAAATGCAGCTACTCCTCCAAGACACAAAAAACTAGAACTCTTGGTTCCAAAATGATACCTTTTATTAGACCAACTGAAAAATGGCAAAAAAGGACAATTTTCTTGCCATTTTCCAGTTGATCTGATAAAAAGTATCATTTTGGAACCAAGAATTCTAGTTTTTTTGTATGTCTTTTTGTCTCCGACCAACACGGCGACCAAATACACCCCTGAAACATGGAAGATGCCGAATTTCAGCCGATTTTGGATTTTAAACTTCACTGCAGAACAAGGACGTTTTTTTGCCTCCCTACCTACCATCGGACACCTTCAGGGAAGGAATTCGACCTGATCCAACACACCAAAGAGCTACAAAGACACTCTCATGGACCCAGAGGGACGGACTTCAGCTCCCTCTGTGCAAAAATGACATTTACTTCCGACCTATGGGGACTTTTTACCGTCTTGTACCATCTACACTTTTCCCAGAGCCTGACGAAGGGACTTTAATTCATGAAAGCTTGCAGAAAAAGGACAATTTTCTTGCCGTTTTCCAGTTGGTCTGATAAAAGGTATCATTTTGGAACCAAGGGTTCTAGTTTTTTTGTATGTCTTTTTGTCTCCGACCGACACGGCGACCAAGTACCCCCCCCCCGACTACTTCTCCAAGGCAGACGGGGTCCTTTGGGTGAATCCGTATCAGAGCAGGTTGCAGGGGAGCAAACACAACATTATCCAGGTTTAAAGAGTCCCATAGGCGGGGAAAAGGCTTCTAAAGGAAAATGAAACGACAAAATTCACACACTTCAGGAAGAGGGAAACCTCTTTCAGCTTCACAGCTGTTTCTAGCAAGCATATATAGTTCACTCTTGGGGACAAAGGATGGCTTATTTCTTCTATCCATACAGCTGGCGTAGCGGGGTCTCAGCCCACCACCCGGGTTTCTGGTAGCACTGGAATAGAAACACTACGTAACATCACACCAAGAGCACGAGAAAGCAAGTAGACGTCATTACCGCTACGTCCACCCCTCCCCCACCCGCACCCCCACGGCGGCTCCTACCGGCTGCAGGCGGCGGCCAACCAATCCGCGGCGGCGCTGCCGCGCGTTGCTAGGAGACGGGCGGGGCGGGGCTTCTTTCAGGAGGCGGGGCCTCTCGCAGGGGGCGGGGCGTCATGAGGGGGTGCCCTGACAGAAACACACACACGTTTGTCTGTCTCCACGGTGACTCTTCCTGTTGTGGGTGCGTACATAACAATAATTCCTCTTAAAAACTTCATGACAATCCATTTTTGGTGGATTATTGTTAGGGGCCCTCTTCAAATGGGCAGGGGAGGGGCAAAAAGGGATTTAAATCTGGGTTTAAAAGCGATTTAAAGGGGTTTAATCCCAGGCCCTGCTAAAACTCAAGGTCCTGGCTGGAGGGTCTTGTCCCCTCACCCCAGGGAAGGGTCAGACGGTTATATTTAGGGTCATAAGCAGATGCAAATCTGATCTCTTTTATTACAGCAACTTATATAGATGGGGAAATAAGTTTTGTTTTGTTTTTTTAAAGCAAGTTTTGGGGGTATATTTGGGGTCAGGCAGGAGTCAGCCCCCCCAATCTGCCTGTGGGGTCCTCACCTCCACAACCCACTGAGTGTCTAGAGCAGCAGAAGGGGAAGGGGTTTTCCCCCCTTTTTGTGGTTGGCATTTTTTTGGGGGGGGGGGGGGGGTTGTTTTGTTTTTTTTATTAGAAAGTTAAAAGCTCATTTCCTCATGCATTATAGTTAAAATCTCTTCTAATTTTACTTTTTTTTTTTTTTAAACTAGATCGTGCATTATAGTTAAAAAATAAAATTAAGATTGTTATTTTAACTATAATACATGAGGAAATGAGCTTCTAGTTCTCCCCCTTTCCCCCCAGGAAGCAGTGTCCTTTGTACCTGAAGGCTAATGACTAGCTAAGTCAGGGGTCAATTAGTCTGAGATTTGACGGATATCAAAAACAGGCACAGAATCCTTTCCCTGTGGCACACGTATTACTTTGGATACTTCCCACCCACTTAATATGGCACAAGGGGCTCGTCCTTCTGTAAGGTCCAGGGTTTTCCATGAGGCTCAAGATCTGAATGCAACTGGTCATGTTTTTTAGCCCAAGTCTTGCACCAAGCCAGCAGCAACCGGTTATTGAGACTTGCTCTGTTACTATGACCCTGTCTGAGATATGGGTCAACACTAGGAGTGCCCTTTCAACCACAAGTTAAAAAAAAAAAAAGGCAAACTTTCCCCTTCTACTACTTTCCCCCCCTCCCCAATCCTTTGGAAATATTGCAGTTACTTTGAAGTAGATGTTGGTCATCTAGATGGCAAGGCTGTTCGACCTCAAACTTCTTAGAAGTGTGCAAACAAATCTCTGGCTCCCAAGAGAACCACAGTGGATGTTTTCACAGCAGATCACGTTCATATGGGTCACAAGTTTCAAACCATGCATCCCCCTCACCCCTGCCCCCAAACGCTTTGATACATACGTAGCTTGTCTCAGTACTGTTAGTGAATTTAAATAAGCAAGTGGCTATTGATAATCTCCAGAATTTGCTAATGGGGAAGGGGAAAAGAGGAGGGGAGACAATCTTCTGTTGTATTCCAGTTCCTACAAGATTAAGAAAAAACACAACACAAGCTGGGAATCCCTGTTAAGAGATCTGGCAGAACAGAGAAAAAGACAGTGAAGCAGAACTTGGTTTAAAAAGTTCACTACCAAAAAGTGAGTAAAAATTGTAAAAAGGGG